GATTAATGTATTGTTGCTTTTTGATGTCTCCTCTAAATAAAACAGAGAAAAAATATATCATGAATGATGATGGTTATGACTTTTGTTAAGTCCTAGTTTACCTAATTTATATACTACACTCCACTTAGAGCAGCAGGTTTAACTAACCGTCTTTCAAACACAGTCTTCCATCCTTCAAGTGTTCAAATCCTTTTTTACAGCGGCATTTGAAACTGCCAACAGAGTTGATACACAAGGCATTCTTATGGCAATTATGAGAATTCACTTTGCATTCGTCCACGTCTTTAGGAATAGAAAATTTAAAAAAAAGGTTGAAAGATATGTTCATACAGTATAAGGTTGTTTTATTGGGGGCGTTCCTAAGCATTAGATTTTACCAGATGATTGCCAACTGAGAATTTTCCACACTTGTAGCAATATGCTGTTCCAACAACTTGCCAACAGGACGTCTTTGCAATGCTTGTTTCCAGCTTGTTGACAACTTTCTACAAGGTTATTGAGCTCAACAGACTTGGTACTAGTTGTTCGAACAACTTGCTATCGTCCTGCAATTTCACAACTTGGCAAGACGTTGTGACAGCATTGTTACAACTTGATGAGAAGCTTGCAACGAACTTGTTGTACACAGATCTTGTTGATACGTTTTGAGATTTTCACGTGGTATTGATCGGAATTAATATTATTTTCTCACTCTGATAACGGCTGGTTGAGCAACATCAGCGGTGATCTGCTAACACTTCGTGAAAGCCACATATAAATTCATGCTAAGATTGTGGTGATGGTACTGTACCCACCTAAACAACGTCCATTTTTCAACTTGAATCCATGACGACATTTGCAACTGTATGAGCCAGGAGTGTTGTGACATTTTGAATGAGCTGGACATTTGAACTTCTTCTTGGAGCATTCGTTTATATCTGAAATAAAGGATACTTTAATGCCTCAATTCGGTTAGTTAATATTTAAGAGAGCTATATATGAGACAGTAAAGCACACACAATGTTGTGGGAGAAGGGTTGTTGGGGAGAAATGCTCCGAATATATACTTTCAACTGGTCAAAGTGTCGCCCCACAGACTCACAGTTACTCTAATTAATGCCCTCGGGGGTCTGGGTCCCCATATTGGGCTGTCCTCAGGGGGTCTGGGTCCCCATGTTGGACTCTAGTGTAATTAATGCCCTCAGGGGGTTTTGGTCCCCATGTTGGGCAATCCTCAGGGGGTTTGGGTCCCCATGTTGGACTCTAGTGTAATTACTGCCCTCAGGGGGTTTGGGTCCCCATGTTGGGCGGTCCTCAGGGGGTTTGGGTCCCCATGTTGGGCGGTCCTCAGGGGGTTTGGGTCCCCATGTTGGACTCTAATGCAATTAATGCCCTCAGGGGGTCTGGGTCCCCATGTTGGGCATGATATACTTCAATCTAACATTTTTAATGTATGGTACATCGATTTGTGAGTCTATGGGATGAGGGTGACCTATGGGAGCACTCCATCCCCAAAACCAAAATTTTTTATTTTCAAAGACCTTCCACATATTTTACAAGTAGTAACTATTCTACTGTTCAGTAAACGCTGCGAGCATTGCAGTCCATGCTAGTCTGTCTTGATAATGACCCATGCAATATAACAACAGGCTATAATACAGTTTGTTTGTTTTTTTTGGTTGTTTTTTTTTGTTTTTTTTCCTACTAAGCTATGATAAAGTGGTGCAACATCATTGACGGGTGGGGTGGGTGGAATTTAAGCAATTTTTTCGCTGTGAAGTGTCCTTCACTTTGGCTCACTGGCAACACAATGAAGCCTGTAGCCCAGGCAGGAAGCATAAGCAAACAAAACAGTTGGACCTGATTGGTCTATTTTCCCACATGCATGGGAAGAAGTGTTTGACAGTGGTTCATTGTTATTTACCGAGTGCTTTGCACGTGAGTGATCACGCGTTTTAAGACTGACCTTTGTGCCTAACCTGGTCAAATCAAAGGACTTTGCACAACTTTGGTTATATCCGAACGCTTGTTTCATTAACTTAAGTTTATAATGCCTATGGGCACGTATAAACTTGCTTTAATGCCTCAATTCGGTTAGTTAATATTTAAGAGAGCTATATATGAGACAGTAAAGCACACACAATGTTGTGGGAGAAGGGTTGTTGGGGAGAAATGCTCCGAATATATACTTTCAACTGGTCAAAGTGTCGCCCCACAGACTCACAGTTACTCTAATTAATGCCCTCGGGGGTCTGGGTCCCCATATTGGGCTGTCCTCAGGGGGTCTGGGTCCCCATGTTGGACTCTAGTGTAATTAATGCCCTCAGGGGGTTTGGGTCCCCATGTTGGACTCTAATGTAATTACTGCCCTCAGGGGGTTTGGGTCCCCATGTTGGGCGGTCCTCAGGGGGTTTGGGTCCCCATGTTGGACTCTAATGGAATTAATGCCCTCAGGGGGTCTGGGTCCCCATGTTGGGCATGATATACTTCAATCTAACATTTTTAATGTATGGTACATCGATTTGTGAGTCTATGGGATGAGGGTGACCTATGGGAGCACTCCATCCCCAAAACCAAAATTTTTTATTTTCCAAAACCTTCCACATATTTTACAAGTAGTAACTATTCTACTGTTCAGTAAACGCTGCGAGCATTGCAGTCCATGCTAGTCTGTCTTGATAATGACCCATGCAATATAACAACAGGCTATAATACAGTTTGTTTGTTTTTTTTGTTTTTTTTTTGTTTTTTTTCCTACTAAGCTATGATAAAGTGGTGCAACATCATTGACGGGTGGGGTGGGTGGAATTTAAGCAATTTTTTCGCTGTGAAGTGTCCTTCACTTTGGCTCACCGGCGACACAATGAAACCTGTAACCCAGGCAGGAAGCATAAGCAAACAAAACTGTAGGACCCGATTGGTCTACTTTCCCGGGTGCATGGGAAGGAATGTTTGACAGTGGTTCATTGTTATTTACCGAGTGCTTTGCACGTGAGTGGTCACGCGTTTTAAGACTGACCTTTGTGCCTAACCTGGTCTAATCAAAGGACTTTGCACAACTTTGGTTATATCCGAACGCTTGTTTCATGAACTTAAATTTATAATTCCTATGGGCATGTATAAACTTGCTTCAAATTTGAACAGCATTTAACACTTTTTCTTATGACGGTTTGTGATGTTACTCTGAGTGTGCATCCACATCGGGCAAGCTGAAAAGTTAGCTTGGCCACCGTGGGAATCGAACCCGCGATCTTTGGGATACCAGTCCAATGCTCTGCCAACTGAGCTACGCGGTCAAGTCGGTTCGAGTTGATGATATTTCGGAACTAAGTCTAGTTTCTTCGATATCAGTGTATTCTATGATATGTTCGTGAATATGATGTTTGTGATGTTACTCTGAGTGTGCATCTTATGGTTGTATACACGCTTTTTACTATCATTTTTGGACAAAATCAAGTGGCTCAATAAAATATAATTTTTATGAAGTATGTAACTTTTCTGCATGTATATCACTTTATTTAATCACACTACATCAGCATTGTCATTGATCTATTAATTTTATAAAGGATGCGTCACGTCGATTTTGTGAAAAGCATGCAAATTATTATACTTACCGAACTACTTGGCATATTTCTTCTAAGATATATATCATCAAAATGATAATGCTCAAAATCTCACAAAACAGTCTGAATTTGTCAGCCGAACCGTCGTACTTCTTTGGGTCTTCTCGTGTGGCTCCGTAGATCAATGCATATGACAAGAGTACAAGGAATATCGTGTACAAGATAGCTTGCAAACTGAAATGAATAAGAAACATTGCTTTACTTTTTGTCCATACCTAAGTTTAGCAACTTAGTTTAGTGGCGGACAAAGGATGAAGAGACTTGACTATATTATATTTGTGATTTTTCAAACGCTTTATAAGGAACTGTGTTGCGCTGCCTTAAGCCCTGGGCAAACTAGGAAACATTGTTGCGGAAACATTGTTGCGGAAACATTGTTTCCTGCCAATATTTCGCCACGTTTCCCAGAGTGGGCAAACACTAGGAAACATTAGTGAGAAACATCGGGAAACATCAAATGTTTCTGAATTTGGTGGGAAACATTTTTGCTTCCCGGAAAGCAAATTTTGTTTCCACAACAATGTTTCCATAGGTGGCGAAACATGGAAACATTTGAGGAAACATCGAGAATCACAAATGTTTCCGCAACAATGTTTCCTAGTTTGCTCAGGGCTTTACTCCTGGGTGCAATGCACGTGCATAATTCCCTATTTCTCGTCCATTCGTGCACTAACTACAGCAATTCATTCGAATTACTGCACTGAATCAAAAGAAATATAGAAGCTTGGAGGAACAAATGTTATTACTAGAAGTGCATGCATGCAGCAACCCTCTCCTATATTTTTAAAACATTGATTTAATTAACATGAAGTAATAGTAACTGGCCAACGCTGAACGCAGACTCGCCGTTGTGTGTTGCAATATACATAGAAACACGATAATTTTTCTTTTTTAATATTTTATACAAAAAGGCAAAAATAGTTGAAAGATTAGTAATATCAATTTCCGAAGTATATACTGCTTTGATTTAATGTAAATTTTAATATGAAACGCTTTGTGAAATGTTTTGAAATGCGGTTCATTACAGTCGATTTCAACTTACTTTTCACTCAAATGTTCCAAACTTCGTTCCGAACTTCGCAAATTCGTTGCCAAGTTCAAAAGTTCATAATGAAATTCACAAACAGGTTTGTAAACAAAGCCTCTGATCGGCTATTAAATCAAACCAGCCAATCAAATGCCCAGTTTACAAACCTGTTTGTGAATTCGGAACGAAGTTCGGAACATTTGAGTGAAAAGTAAGTTGAAATCGACTGTAAGACTTAAAGTCAACTGTTATAATTACAAATAAATTACCTTTTTAACTTAATAAGAATTAGCCAACTTACTGTCGTTCCAATTGAAGTGTTGCTCAAATATTGATTCAATACATTACCTCGGGCTGACCAATTCATTTCATCAAGTTCCTCGAGATATTCATACACTTCCTGTGAAAGGGCCAATTCCAAGTATTTGATCATTTCTGGTCACTTCCTTTCAATTTATGATTGGTTAGTTGCACAAACAACAAAGGTGATTGGTGCATTCAAACTATTCAACAGGAAGTTTACAATTATACTAGGAAGTGTATGAATATCTCGAGGAACTTGATGAAATGAATTGATCAGCCCGAGGTAATGTATTGAATCAATATTTGAGCAACACTTCAATTGGAACGACAGTAATTCTATTTTACTATTAATATGTTGCCGTAGTGAACGGAAGCCTGGAAGGGAAACCTTGCATGCAGGCTTCGATTTCCTTTACAACTAAAGAATAGTAAATTACCGAAACCACCAACTGCCAAATTTATTCCACTTTCTCATGACAAGCATTCTAACCACGGGGTGCTGGATCGCCTCCTGCAAACAACAGACGGATCGAAAATATTTTCAAACATGATTATATGATTATAGAGAACAAAATATTACAAAATAAATGGACGTCACTCTTGCATAATACGGGAGATCAAGGTTTGCGACGCCAGAAGACAAGGGATGCAAAAAAGATTGGGATTCCCGTACCAATTTCCATCAATGAGTGAAAAAATTACGCGTTTACATTTCGCTTATTTTCTCCCAAAGTATAAACACTCCCGACGGGGAGCAAGCTGAATAATCATAATCAATCATAATCATGAAGTGATAGTTTGGTATAAAACAAAGCCAGTTTCGTTTGTTAAAGATAAACGAACTTTGGATAAACTTAGATTCACTTCGTCACTATGTTATACTAATAGTTTTTGCCACAACAGGAACTGCTTTTCCGCAAATACGTCACAACGCCCAGTACACTTATTATATATAATAGTAATTTCAGCAAATGAAAACAAAACAACTCGACGAAAACCTCGGACTCCACGGCTTTCCTTGCCAAATCCGGCTTGTAAGATGCAGCAAAACAACAGCAAATTGTTTTATACTTTGGGAGAACATGAGCGAAACGTAAACGCGTGTTTTTTCTCACTCTTTGTTTGAAATTGTATGGGAAATGGCGTTGGCGAGCGCTCGCCCCAATGTTTTTGAGGCCCTTATATGTTATGCCATCGGAAATCATGATCCCCATATTAGATAGTAGTTATGCAGTCAGCAGTCTTGCTTCTGACCAAAAACGACAATTAGTGCAGTTCAACGCAAGTCTATATATAAACTAGGAGTTTCCAAGTTCGTGTCAAAACAAAGAATGTAAGAGAAGAGAAATACACAAAAGGCAACACGATATGTTGCTGAAACCGTTTAAGTAGGTTCATTTGATTTTAGACTCGTTTACATGCACTGTAAACGAGTTTGGCTTTTTGTTATGAAATACAATTGTTTTAATTTTATGAATGTTGTTAATTTTTCCTTCGTCGCTATAGAACAAAACACTTAATGTTTTGATTGGTCAGACAATTTTTCGTATCCGACTTTTTATTGGCTAGTGTTTTCGTTAAAGAACGAAGTCATCTTGACCTTCATCTTTAACGACTGCAATTAAACGTCGTTCTTTAATAAATTTATTATCGCGGCTATCATACTTGTCTAAATCCAGCCTAGACCTTGGCCTTTTATACTCGGCTGGTAATTATCGCGATGGTCATTTGCCTCGTAAAGGCCTAGTAGATTTCACAAGTTCTCAAATTAGCCCCATAACTTTGTGA